TAAAAACAATCAACCCAAATAAGTAAATAATAAACAAATTAACAAACCAAACCCACCAAAATAACCGTCAGAAGTGACTACAACAACCAATCCAAAAATTGGCCGAAAAAAACTGCTATATATCGATAAAAAAAAAAACATCACTACGTCACTCAAAAATTGAAAACCAAATAGGATAAATAAAAATATGAGAAAATAAGTAAATAAATAAAAAAAATAATAAAAATTAATCCAAATAAATAAATAAATGAACAAATTAACAAATCGCCCCTGCTAAAATAACTGCTAGAACTAATAAAAATAAGCATAAATAAGCAAAAACAAGTAAAAATAATCAATCCAAATAAATAAATTAAAAACTGTTCCCCGGCCACCAAAATAACAGAATAGACTACAGCAATCAATCTAAACACTGGACAAATAAATAGCTTTATCTTCCCAGACCAAAACAAACTATTAAATAAGCAACCTAAGCAAATTCCCCCACAAAATTTTTTATTACGTTAATAAAACATCAAAAAATGAAAAGAATAAATAATACAAAATGAAAATAAAAAACAAGTAAAAGAAATTAATCCAAACAAATAAATAAATAAATAAACAAACATGCCACTCCCACAAAAATAACCACCGCTGACCTATATATATAAATAGCCGAGGAAATATCTAGCATTCACAGCCTGTTGCCTCTGAGTGTTGACTTCAGTGTTCACTTTTATATATATATATATATATATACCACATAACACCCTTGAGCACTTAGCTTTGGAGCGGGTAGAATGAAGATCGACGTGTTTTAGTGGACTCAGCAATTTTCAGTCTGCTGTCTGAATCATCTTCAAGAAGCAAGAGCAAGATCTAAAAGGTCAGCCAATGGAACAGTAATCTCATCTCACAATCCTCACACTTGCTCCATATGTGGCCTCCTTTTAAATCACTAGCAGGTCTTAAATGCCACTTAAGATTATCGCACAATTGAATCATAACTGAATCAATAAGCTGTCAGATCCTCATACATCAGAGAGTTCATTATTATTATTATTATTATTATTAATATATATATATATATATATAGAGAGAGAGAGAGAGAGAGAGAGAGATAGATAGATAGATAGATAGATAGATAGATATTTCTTAGTTCCACCAGTTCTAGCCTTCAATGCTAGGCATGTTACAGTGAACCACTCTCATTCCTTTTGTATTCCATACTGAGAAGTAAGTTCCACTTCAACAGCTTCTTCCCAGGAACAGCTATCTTGGAGAATCGATTGCCATAAGGAGACTTTCACTACCACTACAATCTTAAGCTGTTCAAGTCAAGGGTTAGCCATTATCTTTGCATATATCCTCATAAACCGCTCCTCTTACTCTGTAACCCTCTACCTCAAGTGGCTCTTGAGTCTTGTACAGGGTGAACCACACTGTAAAAAAAAAAAAAACTCGAACAAAAAGTTAGGAAGGAATACTGTAAATAGTGATAACAGTTATTGGACTTGAGAAAATTATTTTCATTAAAAATTCCTTTAATAGAAAAATTTTATAAATTTCAACCGAAAATAACCTAGGCTGCTCAATCAATGAATAGTGATTGTTATTTTTACCACTCACAACAAACTCCATTAGAAATCCTCTACCTCAAGTGGCTCTTAGGCCTTGTGAACATTAGTAAAAAAAATGCTCTTATGAATCACTAGATTTTTCATCTGCCATTATTTTTTACTACTACAAGTATTATTTTGTGGTTGTCCTTGTTTAAGTAGATGCCCTTTTTTTCTTGTTTTTTTTTAAACTGTATTACACATTTAAGCAACATTTTTTTCTTATCCTTACTCTCCTCACCATTTTGTTTCATATTTTTTGTATACATTTATATACACATTGAAAATATCCATTTATAGACCTTTAATAAAATTGGTAATTAAATAATAAGTCTAAACATTTATACTTAGCTTTTATCAGCTTGTAAAAAAGTTTTTATTCTTGACTAAAAGGATTTATCCATCCAAAATTCCTGGCGAGTTGTAAAAAGTTCCCACGCATGTATTTATGTGGCCAATTTTCATTTGGGGGATGAAAGATGATATATTTTAATGGCTTCTACCCAAAAGCTTTGTAGGTTTTTATTTCCCTGTTGGCCCATTGGGTCAGTGTTTGGTTTGGAAAGTGTCCACTTGACAAGGAAACCAAAGACAACACACTTGGGCCTACTGCTGACCGCACAAACTGAACAGACATCTCTTATATCACAGGAAACAATAGACTGGGATCTGGAACTCTGTAGCCATCTTCCTCTTTATCTAATTTCAGTCTTCTTCCCAATTCTTTTTTTTTTACTATTTTTCTCCCTCTACAAGCCATGAGGGCCACTCAAGATAGAGAGTTACTGAATAGGGATGTTATAAATGTGTATAGGCAAGGAGCAAGGTTCTGTATATTATGATGACATTTAGGAGAGATAATAGTTCACCCTTGACTTGGAAAGGTTAACATTGGAGTGATCAGGAAAGCATCCCATTGGGAATCCATTTTCCATTGCGATAGTTCTGGGGAAGAATCTGTCTGAGTTGAACTTCATCCTTACCAATGGAATATGAAGGAAATGATGACGGGTTGATTTAATGTATGTGACAAGGCAGCTGCTACCTGTGACAGTCTGGATTAGTGTAACCAAGGAATATAGTTCACCTGAACATTTGTCATGAAAATAGTGGTAGAGCAGTGGGCGACTAACAATATTTTATCTTTGGAAAGGGTTTGAAGCAGGAATAAACATGGCTGTTTAAACACTTTTGAACAGGACTGAGAGTGGAAAGTGATGATTGGGATGCTCTGACCTACGTGTGGCAGTAATAATCTATTTTTGGTCTTGTAGAGATCGAGCGTTGGTAATTGGATTCAGGTACACAATTAACATAGGAGGTGTTATCCAAAAGTTCTGGGAATTCAGAAAAAATTACATAGTTTCGTACCCGATTTTCAAGATGTGCTTCAGAACTGCCCCATACCTGTTGTTTTCACATTGACTAACAAAGTGCAGTGGCAAATGTCTTTACTACATTCGGTTTTTGTACGCTTGTCTTTCAAATTCCACGAGACATGTTTGCATTTTAGATTTATCTATCTGGCAAAACAATTCCATGTCTTATTCACATTTTTTTTTAATAATTTCACCCCAAGCGTGGCAATAAAGCCACTAAGACTCAAGGGGGTTACTGAGTGTGAAAGAATAAGAAAAAGAAAAACATTATGAAGGAGAAAGAACAATGAACAAAAAAAGAGGGATTAAAAAAAAACAACTGACATTTAAATTATTGAAGATCAAATTTGGCTTCTCACAATATTATTCTTCATCTCAGTCGTATTTATTTTTCGGCTGCTGGCTGCAACTAACTGGAATTGTTTTTTCATAGATTGGTAGCTGAAATGGCTGCATATGCACTTAGTTGTCAAGTCAAGGTAAAAAAAAAGAAGCAAAAATTCAAATGTTCCTGTATATTTTTTAATTTCATATAATCTAATCCCAGAGTTATCAGTACATTCATATATACTTATGAAATTAGTAATACTATCTTAGTTATTTCTGTCTATATATATATCTGAGCCTGTTCCGATCTATTTACCTATCTATCTAATACAGTGTGTTTCTATCTATCTATCTATCTATCTATCTATCTATCTATCTATCTATCTATCTATCTATCTGTTATGGTAATTTACCCACACATGCATGGACTCTTCCAGCTATAAATAGGAGCAGGTACTGCCTTTTGGTGGGTGAAGTTTCCAGTAGTCAGCTCTGAGAGTCAAACATTACATTCTCGCTGTAAGACTGTCATTTGTATATGTTTCTATTACTGTTTCTGTTAATATATTTAACTCAATTCTTCTCTTGTGTTTTTATTTCTGGCCCTAACAAGGCCACAACACTATCTATCTACCTATCCATCTAGTACAGTGTGTTTCTATCTATCTATCTATCTATCTATCTATCTATCTATTATGGTAATTTACCCACACATGCATGGTCTCTTCCAGCTATAAATAGGAGCAGGTACTGCCTTTTGGTGGGTGAAGTTTCCAGCAGTCAGCTCTGAGAGTCAAACTGAACATTCTTGCTGTAAGACTCTCATTTGTATATGTTTCTATTACTGTTTCTGTTAATATATTTAACTCAATTCCTCTTTTGTGTCTTTATTTCTGGCTCTAACAAGGCCACAACACTATCTATCTATCTATCTATCTATCTATCTATCTAATACAATGTGTTTCTATCTATCTATATAACTATTTATGATATATTGAGATATAATTTTATATATCAATAAACAGTATTTTGTGTGCATATGTAGACGTGGCAATATCAAAAAAACCCAGTTTGATGAAATCCTAGTGGATGAAGCATGTCACAAAAAACCTTTCCAGTTTGTCATATTTTTCTAAATAACTATTTATCTAATATAGTGTGTTTCTATCTATCTATCTATCTATCTATCTATCTATCTAATACTGTGTATTTCTATCTATCTATCTCTCTCTCTATCTATCTATCTATCTATCTATCTATCTATCTATCTATCTATCTAATACTGTGTATTTCTTTCTATCTATCTATCTATCTATCTATCTATCTATCTATCTATCTATCTATCTAATGCTGTGTATTTCTATCTATCTATCTATCTACATGTTTTATATCATTTTAAGCTTATGCTAATTTTAGGTTTTAGCAGTAATTTTATCAATAAATTTGTTCCTTGTTAATTCCTTCGTATCCAGTTCATGCTGATATCCCATGTGGTGAAACTGAAGTAGGTAGTACCTGGTTCATTAGGATTTATTTATTTTATCTATGTATTTTCACAAGTCTTCAATGTGTTCAAAAACACCTAAATAAAGCAGGCTTCAAAATTCTTCAGCAACATCACATAAACTTCAGTGTTATTAACTATATTGAGGATGGTCTGAAAATATGTAGACATTGTGGAAAAGAGTGCACTTCAATGGGAGGCCTAAAGAGACATATGAAAATTCATAACAATAACCAGAAAGCAGCAGTAGCACATGCCATAGGTCTTTTCAACTGTAACATTTATGGTAAACAATGCCAGTCCCTGGTTGGCTTAAAGAGTCATATAAAAGTAAGACATGTATAGATTGATCAAGCGATGACAATATTCAATTAAGATTTTGTGGCCATCATCTATCTATCTATCTATCTATCTATCTATCTATGTTTTCACTATCTATCTATCTATCTATCTATCTATCTCAGTCTGTTCATATCTATCTATCTATCTATCTATCTATCTATCTATCTATCTATCTATCTCAGTCTTTTCATATCTATCTATATATCTCAATCTGTTCATATCTATCTATCTATATATCTATCTATCTCAGTCTCTTCATATCTATCTATCTCAGTTTGTTCATATCTATCTATCTATCTCAGTCTTTTCATATCTATCTATCTATCTATCTGAGTCTGTTCATATCTATCTATCTATCTATCTATCTATCTATCTATCTCAGTCTGTTCTATCTATCTATCTATCTATCTAATACAGTATGTTTCTATTTGCTTATTTGCCTATCTATAACAATTGGTTTCTATTTTTCTATTTGTAGTTATCAGTGAAGAAAATCTTAAATTTTAAATGTTTAATAGCAAAATTTTACCAATTTCAAGCACTGACTGCTCAGTTAATCAATGCCAAATGATTCTTTCTAAGGAAATGGATAACATCATCCCCATTAGAGATGAAGGGAACAGATATTATACTTTGATACAAGCCCAGTGGTCAGAAAGTGAAAAAAAGCATAGCTCAAATAGTATCTGTTTATATTTCTGAGATGATGTATTGTAATTATCTGCACTATTTGCTTTGTTTGGACTGTTCTACATCTGGCCACACTCATCCCTAGAAGAACAGATCAGTATACCAATAGATAACCTGAAGGAGATGCTGACTTTCTGTACACAACCAACACACTTCAGAATGGGACCAGACATATATCGACAGGATGAAGGCTTAGCAATGGGCTCACCATTATCACCAGCAATGGAAAACATGGAATACTATGAAGAAATGGCATTAGAATGCACATCACTAAAGTCTACCCTATGGCTGAGATACGTAGATGACACCTTTATACTCTGGCCACATCAGACGGGTTCAGCTACTAGTGGACCATGTGAACTCAATAAAATCATCGGTACAGTTCACAATGGAGAGAGAAAACAACAACCAACTTGCATTCCTGGATATACTAATATCTTGAACGGAGTATAGATTTAAGACATCCGTATACCGCAAGCCAACATCACACCAGCCATACAATGTAAAGAAAGGGATTGTTTGATGTTTTCAACATCAAGCAAAAGTCATAAGTCAACCCAGAGACATATGAACTAAAAAATAGTTAGTATAATCAACATAACAACTACCCTAGGTACATAGCAGCAGCTTCGACAAACTAGGATACAAGAGGATTACAAAAGTCAGGAAATGGCTTCGATATACCTACCCTATGTGAAGGGATTATCGGAAAAAATACAAAAGTCTGTGCACCATATAACATCAGGATAAGAACTGAAATGGCTAGATGCAACCATAAGTTCTATGTTAAACATTTCTTCAATTGCACTTCTTGCTTGTGGAACTCTCTTCCTGCTTCCTAGTCAATTTTGACTTTCAAAAGTTTAAATGCAACGCTAATCCTTATGTTCTATCTTCTTAATTATTATCGTCATATTCTCTAACACTCAGTAACCCCCTGCATCTTAGTGGCTTTATTGCCTTGCCTGTGATGAAATAATAAAAGAAAATGTATCAGAAAGAAGAAAAATTATCCAAAATATAAGAAAAAACAAATGAGAAAAGTCCTCAACAAAGAACTTTTGTTGGTCGTTAGCCAAACTGATATATATATATATATATATATATATATATATATATATATATGAATTTCATATTTCATGCACTTTTACAAAGACACTCCTTTATTCATATCTGTTCATGCATGTTATTCTAGTTTTATCTTAGGTTTACCAAGTTAGTTTAAAAGGAAGCACTTCCCCAAGAGTCCATAGAGAAATAAACAAGTGCTTTGCCAAACGGAACCCTGTCAGAAGTAGTTAGCAGGTAGTGTTTTAGGATTATAGGCTGCCTGGAGAGGCGTTTTTTAAGAAAATGAGGAGCTGAACTTGGTGGTCTTAAAAATAAACTGCAGGGTGCACTATGCAAATCAAACTCAAGTAGAGTCTAAGGAATTAAGAAATACAAGAATAATGGCGTCGAGGGCAAGGGATGAAACTAAATGAAATGTTTACGGGAGCAATAATCTATAAATCAAGAACAACATGGGAAGCCTTGAGAATAAAAAGGAAGACCACTGAAGAAAGCTCAAGATTAAATTATAGAGGATCACTTGGGATGAATACACCTTGCGGCAGTAGAGCTGTTTGTTCATTCAGCATTCTACTTGAGGGTGTTGAATGAAGGAAATCAATAAAGATATCCAATTGACTGCTGGGTCATTCTTTTTCTTCTTCTTTATCTTTCTGTCTGTCTATCTATCTATCTATCTATTAGTACACTTGTCTTTCCGAATCTATCTATCTATCTATCTATCTATTAGTACACTTGTTTTTCCGAATCAGTCTATATATCAATCTATTGATTTATCTGTCTATTTATCTATCTATAAGTACTCTTGTTCTTCACATCTATCTATCTATATATCTATTTATTTATTTATTTATTAGCACACTTGCCTCCTCGCATCTCTCTCTCTATCTATGTATCTATCTATTGTCTCTTTCTATCTATCTATTGTCTCTTCATATCTATCTATGTATCTATTTATCTATTTATTTATCTGTCTGTCTATATCTATCTATCTATCTATCTATCTATCTATCTATCTATCTATTAGTACACTTGTCTCTTCATATCTATCTATATATTAATACACTTGTGTTTTCATATCTATTTATCTATCTATCTATTTATTAGTGCACTTGTTTCTTCATACAGTGTAACCCGGATACAAGAGAGTTGTCGGGACCGGAGAAGAAGTCTCTTATATCCGGGTTTTGTCTATTTTATATACATTAACACAGGCTCTGATTTGGGACCAGAGGAAATCTCTCTTATATCCGGGTTTCTCTTATATCCGGGTTTGGTCTATTTTATATACATTAACACAGGCTCTAATTTGGGACCAGAGGAAATCTCTCTTATATCCGGGTTTCTCTTATATCCGGGTTACACTGTATCTATCTATATATTAATACACTTGTGTTTTCATATCTATCTATCTATCTATCTATCTATCTATCTATCTCAGCCTGTTTACATCTATCTATCTATCTATCTATCTATCTATCTCAGCCTGTTTACATCTATCTATCTATCTATCTATCTATCTATCTATCTATCTATCTATCAAGCCATACTTTTCTCTATTTCAACAGCTCTCTATGTTTCTCGTTTTCTTTTTGTTTTTCATAAACAAAAACATGAAGCAATTTATCAAAATAAAAATAAGTATATAATGGCTTATGAAAATTGAAAGCTCTCTGATATTGGACAATTTATATCTAAACTTTCACCAAAAAGCAGGAAAATGAACTGAAGTACAAAAAATAAAATCCTTAACATACTGTGGTTGATCTTTAACCAGATTTCTATAAATTAAACATTGCTAACCAAATACACCTTATCTATCTATCTATCTATCTATCTATCTGTGTATATATATATATATATATATATATATATATATATATATATATATATATATATATAGGTAACTGTACTCGTCTTGAAAAACCTTTGAATTTTTTTGATTTGCCAATAATCAAATCAATCTTGAAGAAAAAAACCTTTTTCAAAAAAAGAAAGAGCCAGCTTTCCCTGACGATCCACTTAGGTGAAACCTGGTGAGGTTTGTCTGGCTCACAAGGTTTGACTATATATATATATATATATATATATATATATATATATATATATATATAATATATATATATATATAAAATAGCTCAGTGAGTGATGGTAGTAATAATACATACCTGACAATTACCATGCACTCAGAGTTGTACCAAATTGCAAGCATATACAGAATATATATTTATTATTATTACTATATATATATATATATATATATAGATAGATAGATAGATAGATAGATAGATAGATAAAAGGATTCTGGAATGTTCTGACAGATCCTTTTCCCAGAATCTGACCAAATGATTAAACACCAGAATTTATTTTTGAACAACATCTTTGTTGTGCCAAGAACTTTTCAGTACCTCTTTTAAATATATTTCTAACGATAACAACATCAGTTTTAAAAAGGAAAAAAGTAGAATTCTGCTATTTTTTCTCCCCTCTTCCACTTGATTTCTTTTATGCATAACACATTTAAGAGTAGAATCATTTTGGTCTGATGATCACATAGAAGCATGAAATTAACAATCACCTTACAGAATTAATTCTCATGGCAATACTATCTATCTATCTAATGTGGTCTGTTAATATCTATCTATCTATCTATCTATCTATCTATATAATGTCGTCTGTTAATATCTATCTATCTAATGTGGTCTGATATTATCTATCTATCTATCTATCTATCTATCTATCTAATGTGGTCTGTTAATATCTATCTATCTATCTATCTATCTATCTATCTATATAATGTTGTCTGTTAATATCTATCTATCTAATGTGGTCTGATATTATCTATCTATCTATCTATCTATCTAATCTGGTCTGTTAATATCTATCTATCTATCTATCTATCTATATAATGTCGTCTGTTAATATCTATCTATCTAATGTGGTCTGATATTATCTATCTATCTATCTATCTATCTAATCTGGTCTGTTAATATCTATCTATCTATCTAATGTGGTCTGTTAATATCTATCTATCTATCTATCTATCTCTCAGTCTGTTCGTATCTATCTATCTATCTATCTATCTAATGTGGTCTGATAATATCTATCTAATGTGGTCTGTTAATATCTATCTATCTATCTATCTAATGTGGCCTGTTAATATCTATCTATCTATCTCTATATATATATCTATGTATCTAATGTGGTCTGTTAATATCTATCTATCTAATGTGGTCTGTTAATATCTATCTATCTGTCTATCTCAGTCTATCACTATTTATCTATTGATCTATATATCTCTAATTATTTATTCTATCTATCTATCTATCTATACATGGTAAATTGCTGCCATTTATATTTTTACTTTTGTGCCTATGCATTGTTTGTTTTTGATTTTGTCAACTGCACAGTATCGTAGGGTCAGTTGGGCAACATCAATAAGAAAAAGATCACCATGATGCAATTTACTCTGAAAGAAATTTGAAAAAAAGCATTCTATACAGCTTGGCATTTGTGCTGGAATCTCCAATACAAACATTTCAGAGAGTTTAGGTGTTAATCTGAGGACAGTGCAAAGGATTTGGAATAGAATTGGATGAGTCTAATGGTGATTACGAAGGTGTTTGGAGTGATGACTAGTGATGGTGACATTATGCCTCTATTGAGTGAGAGACCAGAAAAATTCCTTGTAACACCAAAGATGAACTGAATGCAAGGATTATGGCAACATTCACCAATTTAAGCAAGGAGACCATCCAGAAGATTTGCAGGAGATTCTGAAGTCATCTGGAGGACGTGGTTGAAGCTAAAGGTGATTTCATTGAATAAATTTACTCTTTAGTATTTCAAGTCATTTTTGTGTCATTTTGTTAAATATATCTTTTAAAATGTGATCTTCATTTCTGTGTCATTTTGATGACAATTTATCCATCGCACCCTGCATAGCTATATATGGAGATTTTTCTAAAGAATATATTCTGTGTGTTAATTTTTTTAAAGCAATTCACCCCAAGCAAGGCTAGAGTGCCACTAGCATGCAAGGGGTTACAGAGGATTGAGAACAAGAGTAAAGAGGCGTGTTTGAAGAAAGGATACAGAGAAGGACGAGGAACAAGCTCAGGGTGTCAGATGTCGATTGACATTACACTTGAATATTTGAAGATTATAGTCATGAAGGAAGAAAGGAAGAGGAAAGGAGTTCCACAGTTGGGAAGTGCCGGAGAAGAAGCTGTTTGAGTAGAAGAGACAGTTGCATTTAACTGTTTTGACAGTGAAAGGGTGGGGCCAAGATGCCAACCTGTTAGCTTGCTTAAATTCATGCAGTCTGGAAACCAGCGAAAGTAGCTCGTCAGAACAGTTGCCGTGAAAATACTTGTAGAAGAGACAGAGGGAAGCCATAGAGACAGAGAGAAGCTGTAGACTAGATCAGGACCTAACACATTGCATATTCATCTCTGGATTTTGTCAAGGACCTTGAGACTTACAGCAAGGGCACCAATTCATATATGACAGCAATATTCCATGTTAGGACGGTTGGTTGATTTATAGATTTGAAGGATGGACTCAGACAAGAAAAAACTTTCTGGTACAATGTAAGTAGCAAATGATCTTCCTGGCAAATACTATTAAAAACATTAGACGTTGTGCTTTTGTGTCAGTTAATTTTAATGATTGACTTATTCAAGTTATGAATAATCCTTCTCAAAGAAGAAGCAAATTCCATCAGAAAAGAAACATGGTTCAAATCATTATCAGAGCAAGTAGAGATGAATAATGAGTTTAGTAAAGTTTTGAAATGGTGTAACAATGCTATTTTTAAAACAAGCTGTTAGAATTATGTGATGAATTTAGTTACCATTACAAAAAGCTCATCTATTTTCTATTTATAGAAAAGGCACAGGGAAGCAATTTTATTGTGGTGGGAAAGTGACTGAAGCTGAGATGCCAGCTCAAGACCAGCAATATTGCTGATTCATCTTTGGATTTTCTCAAGCATCTCTAAATATATAGCAGTAACACAGGGCCATATATAGCAGCAATATTCTAAGCATAGAGGAATCCAATTGACTGCTGGGTCATTCTTTTTCTTCAGCTTTATCAGTCTATCTATCTATCTATCTATCTATCTATCTATCTATCTATCTATAAGTACACTTGTCTTATAGATATTTAAGATAAATTCAGGGGAGAAAAATTGTCTTACACAA